AGCACAAAGAAAAAAAAACAACAACAAAAAACCAAAACACCACCACCAACAACAACAAAACAAGCAACCTATTCATGGAGTGGTCCTTTCAAAAGTTCTTCAACTGATGAATAAATAATGAAAATGTAGTACATATATACATACTATGGAATACTATTCAGCTGTAAAGAAAATTGAAGTCATGAAATTTTCAGGTTAATGGAGAGAATGAGAAAAGATCATACTGAATAAGGTAACACAGGCCAAGAAAGACAAATATCCCCTGTTATCTCTCATCTGTTGCTCTTAGCTCCAAATTGTTTAATGTGAGTGTATCACCTGGGGTAACTGAAGAAATGACGAAAGCAAAAATGGTCATGGGTAATGGATAGAGATGGGACTAGAAAGGTACAAATGATTTGAAGGGGGATGTGAGAAAAATAGAGTGACTTTAATTAGGGAGGGAGGATAAATACAGAATAAGGGATATCTTAGGATTTTATTGCTGTGAAGAGACACCACAACCATGGCAGCTCTTATAAAGGAAAACCTTAACTGGGACTTGACTGACAGTTCAGAGGTTCAGTCCATTACCGTCACTGTAGGAAGTATGGTGCTGGAGAGGTAGCTGAGATTTCTACATCTGATTGGCAGGCAGCAGGAAAGAGGAAGAGCCACTGGGCCTAGCTTGGACATTTGAAACTCTGAAGTCCACTCCTAGTGACACATTTCTTCCAAGAAGGTCACACCTACTCCAACAAGGTCACACTTCCTAATCCTTTCAAATAATGCCACTCTATATTAGCATATGGGGACCATTCTCAATCAATCTACCATAGGAGAAAAGGATAAATTACAGTAAATATGTGTGAAAAAGTTATAAGGAACCATACTCTTAACCATTCAACTAAGATTATATATAATACATATAACAATATATTTTTTCATTTATATACATGTTAAATGAAATAAATCAATATTAATTTGTGTATTCCATTTATATTATTTAATTAATTAAATGAAATAAATAAATACTAAATTCACACATATAATATATATGTATATATTTAAATGAAAAATTATCAACTGGGATGACGATACTACCTTCAAGATCCACAGACTATTAAACAAATACTCTAATACCAGGCATGAAAAGCTCTTTTTTCAGTTGTTGATCAGGGTTGTCTGGGACTTCCAAAACATTATAGGCTATTGCTCTTGCCCCAAACTGTTTATCCAATACCAAATGCTTAGCGCTGAAGTCATATACAAACAAGTAAAAATATATGAAGTGAATAGCTTGTATATATACATTTAGGTATATACAATTTGTACTTATATGTATATTTATATACACAAAGAAATAAGGCAATGGATTTGAGAGAGAGCAAGAGGGGTGCATGGGGAGGTCTGAGAAAGGAAATTTGTTTTAATTTCAAAAATTAAAAATGTATTTTTAAAAAGATATAGAAGGTTCAACATTCCTTTCAGTGGGAAATAATAGTTTTCTGACACTATATTGATTAAGTTAGCAATAAATTCCATCTTGGATATATCTTATAACTTGAAGAAAAAATTAGAGATAGGTGTGGGGTCAGGGGAAAAAGGAAACAGGGGGAAAACTGGGTTCAAGATTCATAGATAATCTTTTTTCTTTTCCTTCTTTTTTTTCTTCTTCTTTTTTCCCAGCTTAGTACTGGTATAACAGCAATTTTAAAAAAAATGCTTTTACTATTTTCATGTGATTATATTCCATGAGACATAGTGTGGGATCAGTAGAAACAGCTAAAACAAAATTCAATTAATGTTTCTATGGTATTAAGTACAAAACTGTCAGATGGGAGAAAGGCACTTCGCTATTTTCCTTGTCTACTAGCATAATACATTGGTTATCATTAGGAAAATATTTTCAAATTCCTTTTCTAATCAACTGCTATGTGGTATTTACAGCTTTGAAAAGGGCAAGGCTGAGGCCTCTTGGAGGCTTAAGCTTCCTTCTCTGTGTGGTGAAGAGCATTTTGAAGTCAAGAAACCGAAGACCTTTCCAGACGAGGGATATGTCTATGACTCCCCTGTCTCAGTCAATACTTTCTTACCAGAGTACCCTTTGTTTTCAGATCTAGCCACCTTTAAGTTCGTCATCAGAACAAGTCACATTGTGTGACCAAAGTACAAAAGTAGGGAGTAAAGGCTTGTCAGATCATTTGTGGGCTACCTTGGATTTCTCAGTCACACACACGTGTACAAAATATGTCCTTTAAATTTCCTCTAATTTAGCTCTTGAAATCATTTCAGCTGATGATAGAATATGGACATTTGTCAATCCAGGATATCTCCTACATTTTAAAAATGTATTTAAACTTGATCAATTCTGAATATTAAGAGATTTTCCATGGTTTATGTTTAGTGACCTCATTCATCTCACTCTTCTTCCTTTTGTGAAAAGTGGACTCAAGTCCTGAAAGGAGAAGAGAGTGTAATGTGTGCCCTTGCTTTCTAGGAGGAGAAGGCTGCATCTAGTCCCTCTCTAGACCCCCAAATATCAGATGAGAACTAAGTCACTTCTTTTGGTTTCCATTTTCCTATCATGATTCCCACTATTAAGGTCTGAGATTCACACATACGTTTGTCTCTGTGTCTCAAAATAATATCATATAAAAGGCAACATATGAATTTCTTTTCCAGTCACATGACAGAAATATCTGACAGAAGCCACCTAAAGAAAGAAGGGGGTATTTTGACTCACAATTTCAGAGACTTTAGTCCATGGTTGCTTAGCCCATGCATGTGGAAAGATATCATGACAGAGGGAGAATGCAGCAGACTCTCTTCATTAACTGGCACCTTACTCATTCTAGGCCTTCATAAGGTATAGCATCCTTAAGGACTGAGGTATTCACACTCTACAGCACATGTGATGTCTCAGTGTCTATCGATCCACATGCAATGGCTGTAGATCGGTAGCCCAGGCACAGATTCACCCTACTGTCAAAAAGAGAACAACATGGGACATTCCAAGTGAGATTGTAGGTAGGCAGGTCTCAGAGAACAGCCCAGAGCATCCAGAGGAGGTTCTTGATTATGATTTTACTTTACCATGTGTTCTTTGAGAAATTTCTCTTTTCTCCTCAGAAGCCCACTGCTCACTCTACTGAAGCTCAGAGATTACTTAGGGCCTAGAAGAATAATATGCTGCCATCAGGGACTTAATAGAATGTGTAGATGTTATTAACATGGTAGCAGTATGGTGATGTTCACAAATCAAAATATAAATTATAAATATATATATATATGTATATACACTTATATGTTTATGTTACAACTAAACCAATATGAATTACGCATGTATTTAAAGTAATTACTCTGATCAGAGTCTTTCATAAATGAAAATGAAAGTGTAAGTAACATGTGCCCAAAGCTCGGAATGATTCCTCTGGCTAGTACACAATTTTGCTACTGATACTTGGCCCTAGACAGATAATAGAATCTGTTTTCAGATGTTAGCTACTTCCCTTTCAGCAAGGGTTTATGTGTTTGTTTTATAAGAAGCAGATAATATATATTTGTATGAAAATGCCTTTATGAAACGCATCACTGCATACAATGGATATAATAGCTGCCCAGTAACAAATATGCTTTGTGAGCTGTATTCTGTGACAGTTGCACTGTCCTGCCTTTGTTGTGTGCAACCACCCATAGGCGAAACATAAATTGCAAGCATTGCTGTGTTCCTATGAAAACATTATCAACAGACCTAGGAAACGGGATTGGGCACGAGAATGCTTAAATACAGATTCTTAAGCTGAGTTAGAAGGCAATCTATTCCTGGGTTTTGTCCTACTGCTACAAAAATAAATTCGAAATGTATTTGGGGATAAAATGTGCTTTTGATGGGTGTTGGTGAGGATGTTGCCAGGGCATTAGTTTAGGGAGAAAGACCTTCCCACACAGTGGGCAGCACCATCCAACGGTTGGCCACATTTGAAGAGTTCTGAGGGAGAACCATTGCGAGGTTGGCTGCGCTTACATCCTCGGTGTTAGAAGGTCTATCTAACAGCTGCTATTGCCATCAGAGTCCAGCGTCTTCAGACTTCCTGTGTGGATTCAGTCTCAGTGACTCTCCAGGGGAATGTCTCAGGTTTCAATGCCGGATTGGCCGGCTGACACATTCAGACATCTGGAAGGACAAGGTAGTTCCTGGGTCCTCTATCTTTATGGTATGCAGACGTCCACCTTGGGAATACTCACCCTTTGACCTATAAGCCAATATAATAAATCACCATTTGATATATATATATTCTGCTGCTTTAGAAAGCTCTATTTAATACAATGCCAGCTAACAATATGTTTCAGTGGTCAAGGGTAGAGTGCATCTTCCTTTTCCAATCTGTAGGTAACACACCCAACATTGTCTTCAGTACACATGATGCAGTTGAGTTCTTTTTCAGAACTTACCTAACTTTCTTCTACTCTCTACAGATGAGGACACATTTCTGTTCTTGGCAAATGTCTGCGGTCAAAGGCAAATCTGAGACATATGGACCTCTCCATGTTGAAGAGGTAACACATGGCTATGGGCAACATGTACTTTCTCTCTGAAACAGGTGAGTCCAAACACAACATGGTGTAGTTGAGTCTTGTTTTCAGGTATGGATTTTGTAGATGTTTTGAGATGTTTGTCACATAAGAACTTTTCGGAAGAGAGTCATTTCCCGTTTCTTCTATGCTCCCATCTGGTGCCTTCTTGACACCAGATATAATTCTGTTAGCTGTAAGGAAAGAGTTGGGACGTATTTGAATTTTATGCCCCTGGGCTTTATTCTCCTAGTTATCCCTGCTCTTATTAACATCTCAGTGGGCACACCCACAAGAAACACATTTTTAATGTATCTGTCTGAAAGACATATTAATCTGTAAAGGAAACAACCAACAGTTGATTATGCTGTTGCAGTAGACTTTCAGTAGGACTGAAACTGGCAAAGAATTGAGAGACACTTAAAGGCAACATTTTATTCCTGGGGGACATCAGCACTCTCCACTTGAGGCAACATGAAAAGTTCCCTATTTTCTTCATTGTGATCCAAATTAAAGCCAAGTTTAATTAAAGTTTCATTAAAGAGAGATCTTTTGTAGTCCCGGGTAGCATCTTTTTCTTTGAGCCAAATATGTTTTAGAATGGCACGCTTTCATCTCCAGTTTTTAATGTTGTGCTGAGGGAAGAAAGAGAATAGATACACCATTAATGAGGCATGATGCAGCTCAACCAAGAGCAGAGAGCACCAGGTGTTCTGTCAGTTCTCACCAAGGCTGAACGCTCTACACTGAGTCACCTAAAAGCCCTTCTGAGAGCAGTCTCCTAATGTGCTGCCACCATGGGACTTCTGGGGTGCTGCTCTTTTAACCAGGCTTCCTGTTGCATCCTCAGGCCTTCAGCTGTTGTTCTTGTTCATCAACATTTTGATGCCAGTTTTCGTCCCATGTCTCTCTCTTGTTAGCTCCTCCACCACACTCCTCTGGACCGCCACCCTCTTCTGTTGTAAATGACCATACCCTGCTAGTGGCATTCCCCCTTCAAACATCAAACACCTCTTCTCATTGTGAAGATGTAGTGCATGTGTTCATTCAGTTTTCTCCATGGCCTCTGACAGTACAGCATTACCACCTGAAGTGAATTTCAATGTTATTTCTATAATTTGGAGAGGGATATGTGGTGCACAAATAAATAAGAAGACAACTGGAAGGTACATGATTTCTTAGCTTAGATTCCCTGAGAAACACACTCTGAAGGAGCGATGGGCACTCAAGGAGATTGAATAGGAGTTGCCTAAGGAAGAACATTTAGGAGAATATAAGGGAGCCAAAACTGGACAAATCAGCCTTGAATATATAGATGAGGCTGAGACTTCAAATGATCTACAGGAAACTCTGGCACTGAGATGGCTCTTTAGAGATACATCCTTAGCTAACTGGTCAACCAGCACCATAAGAGTCATTCTCACAGTTGTGGCACTTAAGGAAGAACAGTTCCTAGTAATGACCTCGCTACTCAATTAGAATGTCAAATTTAAGGTCGCTCCACCTCCAATAAACATATAACATGGGTTGAATCAGTATTTAATCCAGCTAGGGTCATGTGAAACCCATAGGAAGGAAAGAGGCTGTCCCTCAAGGGGAGCTGTAAGAACTAGCTACAGTGTATTTGAAAGGACTAGATTCTGAGTCCTTGATTCCTATGACAAGTCATGAAATTGGATACAAGATAACTGATATGAGAATATTCCCTTGAAATAGAGAGGATTTAATATTCTGGGAAAGACCCTGGGAAATTATTGAACTAGCAACTAGAACTACTCCTGAAAGCATGGGGGAAAGATGGCCCTCATCAAGAGTCACTGAAGTGTCAGAATGCTTTTAGTAGCTAGGACAGAAAGGAATTGAAAACCTCAAAGACAGTCATGCTAGAATTGACTCATAAGTCTGGATGGTGCCCCAAGTGATGTTTCATGGAGTGGCCATCATGAATGAGCTTGTCAGAAAAGCACAAATGACATTACAAAGCTCAGTGGTGGCTCTTTTCTGTTCTACAAGGCTGACAGGAGGCAAGTCCATCACAGAACAAATAAGAATCCAAAACAGTGTGGCAATGCTTAGATGCAGAGAGTCAGGTATGCATATTGTACAATACAATAATTGTATTGACTGCAAAAGGATCTTGTTGTAGAATATTATAGAGATGCATTCTTAAAGACAAACTATTGGGTAGATGGTATATTATAACCCAGATTAAATCCTCTGAAAATAGTAGGGATGGATGGTCCAAAGGTCAATGTTTCTTATCTAAACCAAAAATTTCTCATGTAATTTATAACTCGAGCCATTTTTTTTTCAGATAATGTCAGAAAAAGAAACCTGATATCTTAGCAGCTGAACCCTGGAGTTCTCCTTAGTCTTTTTTGAAAGATACATACCTTCATTTTCTCAGTTAACCGTATAGGAAGGAAATGGAAATCTGCAAAAATATCTATGGATATTAGCACGAGACGTAGGCAGCAAATGTCCACTGATTTCTTAAGACAAAATAAGGTGTCAACAGTGCTGGAACAAGATGGCTTGAGGTGCTTTTGCCAAGCCCCAGGAGTAGAATAATGACACATGACCTGTGTATCTGGAACAAGGTCGCGACATTTGCAATAGATACTGGCATGGCGTTTGAGAAATTGCTTCTGGCCTGCTACAAGGCTTTATTAGTGACACAGTGCTTGACCATGGAACATCAAGTGATCATGTACTGAAATAGCACCTGGTCATCATGAACTGGACAAGGGATATCAAAACGAGGCCTGAACAGAACTTTCAGAGGGCCAGAACAACCTACAGGAAGAGGTAACTAAGGAGAACTGTCTTCTGTGCAGAAAATAGAATAAGTTCAAACTGGCATTCAGCAATTTTTAAAAGAAGAAATATTGTGTTTAGCAGCAAAGCTTAGCATACTCCAGCACCAGGACTGACATGAAGTCAAAGTAGCAGGGATGGCTGGGTGACCCCAGGGAGCCTCACATGGCTAAGAGCCATGAGGAAGGTGACCATCAAACAAAACAGCCCCATGGCCTCAGACAGGGCAAAGTCCAGAATGGCAGAAAAGAAGAACTGCTGCTCTAGAGACTGGTTCCTGGCATAGCCAATAACCAAACACCATTCCAGTGCCAGTCCCTGATCCAGGCACACCAAGTGTACGCCAATAAACTTCAAAGATCTTGGCTGTTGTGTCAATGTCCCGGGAAACAACAGAGGTCTGGAACACCCATCTGGCCACCTGGCGAGGGGAGCTGCTGCAGGAAGTCTGTTTAGTTAGGGCCTCTGGTCTACATAGGAGGGAGGCAGACACAGGCAGATTAGATCCGGGTTATAGGTGTGGATCAGAACTGGAGAAATAAGCAGTGCCTTGGTGGTCTGCATCTTTCAATCTGGACTCCCCTTCTCCTGCGGCCCCAGCTCAGCCCACAACACTCCCCCTACTCAAGATGACAGACTCTGACATTCAACAATTCTTAAATAATTTTATGTACCACACTAATCAAGATAAAATCTGAGTGCCATGGTTCCTCTGCTTAGTGTGTCTGTCAATTATCTCCTCAGCCTACATCCCCCCTCCCCCTTATTTTGCAGTCTTGACTTTGGCCTCTGCTTAAGCCTTCCTGCCCCTCTAGCACAGTAATGGTGACACCATAACTTAGCCTAGTATTCGCCACAAATTAATTCTATAAAATGTGTCCCACAAGACTTGGCTAGGGAAAAGGAGTCCCACAAGATCTGACTAGGGATTGTCTATAAAATAAATTCAGAAAAAATATTGCATCCGTCTTACAGCTTTATAATTTTGAAATGATACTTGAGATGAATCATGAAGGGTAGATAGCAATTTTCTAAATGAAGAAAATGTCTAAGGACCTTCAAAACAGAGAACAACTTGAAGAAAATCCAGAAGGGTAAAAATATCTCAAGTATCTGGATATTATCTAAGTGTCTGATCTTATCAAAATGAGAACTATATGAGTGAACAGTGGGGGAACAATTTTCTAAGTAAAACTATAAACATATTTGGGCAGTTTGGGGCTCTTTTTCTACATCAGTTTAAAGACATAGATGGTTTCTATCCTTGTTGCATAGGAAAGCAATAGGAGGTTGTGTTATCAATACGGTTAGGAATTGGCCTGGTACCAGAGCTGTGAAATGGGAGTGGGAGGCAGATAGGGGTGGAGGTAGTTAATAGACTGTTCTAATGATTGAAATGAAAGATAATCAGAAGGCCTAATGATTAAAAACACAACATAGATCATTTCATACTAAGTGGCATCCTGCCGTCCATCCTTAACGCATCTCCATTTCTGATTTCCCGCTAAGATACAAAAGACAGAGGAAGAGACACAGTACAATAAAATCAAAACTAAGAACGAGAACATCGATTTTCCTGAAGACTGGGGGCATTTTTACTAACCATGAAACTGTTAGAGACAGGTTAAAGGGGGAAAAAAACAAAAACAAAACAAAAAACAGAAAAATAGTTGCTGATCTGTGTTTGTCTCGTGCAACAGAGCAACCCTTTAATTTCCAGAAACAGGGGGAAGCCCTGTTCTTGTTTGTTCATTTTTTTAATTCATATAATCCCTATGTCCCCTAGCCTTTCTAAATCCCCAGTAACAATACTAATTAGGAAATTGAGACTACATCTTTTTCTTTCACTCATTTCACTGCAAGGTAGGAAAGGCAAAGAGAGACGTGAGAAATGATGACAGACTACAGTATTGGTTCTCAACATGTGGCTCATGACCCCTTTGGGAGATGAATGACCCTTTCACAGGAGTCACATATCAGATATCTTAAATATCAAATATTTTCATTATGATCCATAACAGTAACAAAATTACAGTTATGAAGTAGCAATGAAAATAATTTTATGATTGGGGGCGTCACCACAACATGAGGAATTGTATTAAAGGGTAGAAGCACCAGGCAGTGGTGGTGCACACCTTTAATCCCAGCACTCGGGAGGCAGAGCCAGGCGCATTTCTATGAATTCGAGGCCAGCCTGGGCTACAGAGTGAGATCCAGGACAGGCTCCAAAGCTACACAGAGAAACCCTGTCTTGAAAAACAACAACCAAAAAAAAAATTAATTAATTAATTGAAATAAAATAAAATAAAGGGTCGCAGCATTAGGAAGGTTGAGAACCACTAGATTATAGCATCATTTTCAGCCCATCTATTTTATGTTTCTCCAGTGGAATGTACTGGTCCTCGAGGTAGAGAAGCCCAGGATTGTGGGCTTCAGTATTGTATAATAACAAACAGAAAGTGTTACACAGCAAGAGAACAAGAAAGGACTGAGCAATTCTGTGATGAATGCAGTACAGAGATTGCCAACTCACTCCATGATAAGGACATTAAGCCACTGATGAGAGCAGAGTTCTCAGAGCATGGTAGCTGTCTAAGGTCCCATCTCTCAGAACTGGTATACTGAGGACTAATTGCCAACTTATAAATTTGGGGGTACACATTCAAACCACAGTACACTATTTGAATCTTGGGTTTCCACAAAAGATTTCCTGTGGAATGAGGCAAAGCACACAGTTTCAATAGGATGATCAGCAATAGTTTCAATGGGATGATTAGCACTCTGTATGTATAGACTGTGAGTGAGTGAGAAAGTAACA